ATCATTTCTTCCATCCCTCCAAACCTCTCCTCTAGGGATGAAAATTTTCCCTCCATCGACGAAAGTTTCTCACCCACCTCCTCTTTCAATTGGCCCATCTCCCCCTCCAAAACTTCTACCTTTTTTGATGTCATGCCGTCTAGGATCAAGAGCTCTGATACCAAATTGATACGCCTTAGGTTTCACAAGTTAGGGTTTGCCCTAATTTTCCTTCTAGGATGATATTTCTCCACCAAATCAAAGTTAATCCAAAACAAGAAGAATGAGAGGATGAATAAAAGAGCTTTGCATTAATCTTCAAGAAAAATCACAAGACAAAGCTAGTCCACTTCGAGAAGGACCAAATCTCCCAAAAGAAACCCTAGAGAAAACAAGAAGGAAAACAGAAAGAGCTTTCTTCACATGATAGCCCCCAAAATAAACCCTAATGGCTCCTTTCATATAATCCCACAAATTTCCCCTCATCCCTAAATTGCCCCCCATCGTCCACCCTCCATTTTCCCCCCAAAACCAGCCGCCCCCCTTGATGCCCAAATACTTAAGTGGGTGGGCCCATGGGGCCCACCGTGACTTCTCCCCCTTGCCTCACCCGGTTCGGCCGCCCCCTCCCTTGCCGCCTGTAGACCCGCACGGGTCCAGGATTTACCGCATCAGAGTGGCGAATGGTTTCAATAAGATTCCCTATAAAGCTAAAATACATGGACCACGTCTCCTAATTTCTGAAAAATATGAAAATGTGCTAACTAGGGGGCAATTCTCTTATTATAACCCAACTCACGAAAAGATCTTAAAGCTCAAATAAAATAAAAATAAGATATTTGATTCCAAAAAGAATAAATAAATGATGTAGAATCTACTAGAGCAAAATACAAGGAAAAAGCAGCAAAAATAAACTTTAATGTAAAAAACAATATGCATCATTATTAAGCTTAAAACGCGGGTAACAAAGGAACTAACCTGATGCGTAGATTTACACGGAAGAAAGTGTTGTTGTATTGCCAACCAATCATTGTTGTGCTCCATTATTCCCATTGCTAACAAACTGCATTATATTTAAAAAGTTAAGACAGAGGACTCCAAATTATATGACAATTAAAAGGTGTTATACAGTAAACATCCAATACTGGGATACAAATTGAAGGATTCAATTATGAGGCTCACTTTTTGGATAAAAAATTTCCACTGAATGCCTACCAGCATAGAACAAGCAAGAGAAGCTTGAAGAAACCTTGACAATATATGGTTTTATACTTTTATATATTGCAAAAAAAATGTGAAGAGCACTTATTAAACCTCAAGCTCTAACCCAAAGGAATTAAATAAAATAATTAGAAGCAAACAGCATATGAATAAATGAAACACGTTCATAATTCTGTTCTTGGCACATCCAACTTTCTTATGGCCTTTTTCATAGCCATTATACATCGGCAAACCGCATTTCTCTTCTAAAATAACAGCATCTAGACCAACAGTAAACTATATAAGCATTATAAATTGGACATAAAAATAATATAAAAAGAGTTTAAATATAAACAAATCTAAATAAAATAGTGCAAAGCAGCATATCATATAAATGATATGACGACAATTTTCAAAATAAGAATAATGATAGCCAAACAAATTATATAATGACAGTACAAAATATGCCAGAAAATTTAAAATAGAATTGGGTATAAATTATTAAAGAATTATAACAAAAGAAATAAGTGTTGCATGGTCCATCCACCTTATTTTTGGCATATACAAGAAGTTGAAGACATAATTAGGTCTAAGAAGTACATGCTGCACTGTGTGAAGTGTGATAAGTACGCACCCATCTTCTGCATCTGTGAATAGCACACGACTTGCAACAGCTGGTGTTGGAGGCTTATGAGGAAAAAGTGCTGCATTAAATAAATGAAGAAACCTCTGTGCCAACTTAGCAATATCAGCAGGAACAAGAGCAACCGACTGTTTCATGGTACTCTCCATAAGCGTAGCAGCCAGTGATTTCTTAGGCTGCTGTTGACCAGATTGGAGTGGACAAGATGAACTAGATAAAACGGATGTCAATGTTGAAGTAGATTCTCCTGGAAAGTTGCTGCCTGCATTATCTACTAGAGAGGCTGCATTGGTAGGGAAAAAAGAGGCTCTTTACACGAATGACTCTTTACAAGACCATGTTCCAATAAACTCTGTCTAAGCATTGATATAGCTGCCAAGTCATTAAATATTATTAGTAAACACATTGTATAAATAAGAAGCATTGTGCCTAAAATATTAATATTACATGCCTACCAACCATATGTGGGCTCCGAAAATTCGGCCCCGGCCTCCGCCCGCCTTGATTTTCTTCGGCGGCGATGGAGTTTTAACAGAATAAATTCCGGGGTAAATTTTGGAAGGCAGGTGGGTTTGTAGATAAGACACTACCCAGAGATTTCGCCCTCATTTTGCGAGGACTTTATGATCTGAGTTCGGGTTTCCAGTAAGCGCAAGCCCCTATAATTAATTACCCCTCTCGATCATGATAGAGAACTTTCGATTAAGGCTAGTCGTCAATCAGATACGTAGAAAATATGTGTTATCTGGCATATAGTAGCAGCATGGATATTTGAGATGGTTGGAGAATTTGGAAATTTGGAAGAGTGGGAGATTTTGAGATTTGATATTTAAAATTGAAAATTGCACCATCTTGCACTTAAAGCGGATGGTGGGGGAGTGAATAATAGACCCAATCAAGATCTCATGGTTCCGTCGTCCCAGGCCATCGTGGTCCCTGATCTACTTAGTCAGAGGAGGTAGTCGACCCAACCTGATAGAATGATCCTTGTCGGCAGCCATGGGTTGATTCTTCCAAGGGAACCTTGTAGACCTGAAGTGAATATTTATCTAAGGGGACAAATTTGAATCCACCTTAGCTAACATAGGGCTTTGTGTCCTATCGATCATATCCTATTGATTCATATATCAAGGATTTGATGCCACTAAGTAACATATTGGCTCTGATCATAACCGGTATTTCGTGGTGCCATTTGGCGACAAAACCACTCGATTCAGAGAGCCCCGGGTCATAACCATTTATCCTGCGGTGTCATTTTGAGGCAAAACCTCCGGTCAGAGGACACGTACCACCTCCTTACTGGTAGAAGATTGTTTGAGAATGGATCCTAGTAATATTTTTTACTATGCATTAGCTCAGTATAAGCTGAAGTAAATTTTAATTTGTCCACCCCGGCAAACTGTTGTTGAGAGTTGATGGGTTTTGCTTTAAGTGGTTTGATGGATTATTTCAATTTTAAATATTTTTTGAATTTGGGATTTTTTTTGGATTTTGGACTTCGTGGAGTTTTGGATTTTGAATGAACATTTGGGTAGAGCTCTAAACATTTTGAATTAACCCCTCAGGTTGATATTTACATTGAACATGGTCATCATCGGGGTGTACTTGGGGTTATTTCCACTTGTGGATTGAACATTATCAACTCTATCGAGCTGTCGACAGAGGATCAGGTTTCTCGGGCTTCATGCCTTTGTTTGCGAATTTTCTCTGTTAAAGGCCTTGAAGACCTAATATGAATGTATTCAGACATGGGGTCGCCTCAATTTGCGTGCACAACCTCAATTAAATAAATTGACAATGCATTTAAGGCATTAACGATGTTCCGGACACAACGACGAAGTCCGTTTGTCAATCAAACGTTGTCTGGGCAGCGCCAAGCGAACTTTTTTCTTGAAATTCGCGCTTACATCGGGATTCGTGTCGATCTCCTTGCATGTTTTAAGTTGCATAATTTTGTTATCATTCTTAAGTATTTGAGATGTTCTGAACGTAGTGGTGAAGTTCGTTTTGTGATCGGATTTCATTTGGGTAGTGCCAAGGCTTATTCTCCTCGATATGTGTGCTTTGTCAAAACTTGTGCCACCAATCTGGATGATCCAAATTGAACACATAAGACGTAGTTTTTGAGTATTCGCAATATTCCGGTCATAATGGAAAAATCCATTTTGCGAACGGACATCATTTGGATAGCAAAGATTCTGATCTTCCTCAAAATTTGTGTTTTGCCTCGAGATCCGTGCCATCAATCTGAATGCTTCGAATTGAATAAACAAAATGTAGTTATTACAGGTTGATGACGTTCCGGACACAACGACGAAGTCTGTTCGTCAATCCAACGTCGTTTGATCAGCTTCGCGCCTTAATTTCGGGTGTCGGCCATCCCTTTTGATTGATCTCATTTGATTCGATTGTGAGAGGCCTCGACCTAACAGAATTCGATGTGCGACCACAATGTCGCTGTCTGTTTGCCATTCGGATGTCATTTGACCCTTTAAGTGGTGCGTCATGCCAACCCATGCGCTGCTTGATTTTTCATTTTGTACTTTTTTCACGTAGTTTGAGTTATAGGGGTCAACACCATAGAACAAATTTAGATGCATGAAATGAAATATTAAAGTTTATAAGATGGTATGAATGGTAGAAATGAATTATAGAAGTTATATATTTGATATTAAAGTTGTATATGGGTGGTAAGCATGTAATATTAATGTTTTGGGTGTTAGAAATATAAATAGCATGAAATAAAGTAATATGTAGGTAAATTTCCCTAAAATTAAAACAGTTGGGAATCAAACTAGTCACCAACTTTCTTTAACATCGGCCAAGTAATTCTTAGCAAGCCGAAGTGGAGCTAGATCAAGAATCGATAAAACAGTGTTATTATCAATTACAGGTGTCCAGTAACAACTAGCACTTTGGTTTGAATCAACTTGTACGGATGAATGAAAATTTGAAGGATGAAAACATAACGGAGGATAAGAAATCTTCCTCCAGGACCGTGACATTTCATGTCTTTCAATCATTTCTGATATCAACCTCCGCAAGTCATTGGCAACTTGCTGTCTGGAAGGATCAAGAACACAAACGGAGAAAACTTGGAGAAGAAGTTGAACATGTTCATGTATTAAACAGTAAAGCTGTCCGATTTGGCAAGCTGTAAACCCATTGATAAGTTCAGTACCAGAAACAGATGCAGAGCAATGAGAAAAAGAATTAGGTGAAGACATTTTCCATGCAAAAGAAGGAAAATGAGGTCTCTGTAAATTGGAAACATATGGCAATATAGGACGTAATGTGGCCTTAGATTGTCCCAACAGAAACTTCTTGCTTTTTGCAAACTCCTTTAGCCGTTTCTTTTGCCTGGTCTCTGGTACATGAGCCCCTCCATACTGCTTTTCGCTATGTTCTGTGTTGCAGCCAGTGGTTTCCTCAACATCACTCTCAAGTGCTTCTTCAAGTTCAACTTCAAAGTCAGCATCATTTTCTTCATCTTCATCAAAAGTTCTCTCTCCTTGACCTGCTTGCTCATTTCCATCTCCTTCCATAAGAACAGCAGCAAGAAATTTGTGGTATTCTTCTTCCTCGTCAACATTACGAAGGTCATCATCATCATCTGACTCTTGAAGGAATGTCTCTAGTTCTTCAAGTGTGTAGTTTGCAAGTGAGTGTCGAGCCCTAGTACGCCTGCAAATAGCATCATCATTATCATCCACAATACGCTCATTGATGTTTTCTTGATTGGAAGTCGCATCAAGCACATTTTTCTTTGAAGGAACACCAGCACCATCACTTCCATTCACAGCAGAAAAATCTTTAATGGAAGTCAACATTTGTAGCTGTTTGATTGATTTCCCAGCGGCATCATCAAATTGCATTATCTTTTCCTCAGCCTCCTCCGCCTCATTTACAGATTCTTGGCAATAGATATTCGTCTTCTCCTTGAGTCTTGGAGATGAAGGGCTGAGTTTTCCATCTGAAAAGCTTTTGATACGTTTACAAACATCATCACATGTTCAATTTCATAACTCAAACTAGAAGAGGCTTCTGAAAGTGTTTCACCTCCTCTTCTTCATCCCTTGAGCTTCTATATGCATATTATCACCCATCAACACAATTTTTTCAGATGAAAAGTTCAGGTTGAACTGATTAAGATGCCCAGCAAATTTATGGTAACAACTATAGTATATTATATCACCGGAGTCAACCCAAAACCACAAAAAGAAGAAAAATTATCAGGGAATACAAAAAATATTATTTTACAAACAAATTTCAACAAGTAGTGCATGTTACTGCATTCTAAGAAAAATGGTGTGCAAAAAAACATGTACATACATGCATAAATTTGATACATGACAAAGAAATAAATAAATAAAAAATAAATAAATAAATAAATAAAAACGAAATAATTTAAAAAATAAATAAATAAAAATAAACTCACCTAATGGTGTGACAACTACGCTTTTCAAATTGCTTGGACTGACCCCAAAAAAATGCAATTTAAATGCTTAAATTCTTGACAAAACAAATAACACTACCGTTATCAAAAAATAAAAATATTAGTTATATTGGGCAGGTTGCTTTGTCATTCTCAGGCCAAAATATTTTTTTTAAGAAATAATTCTTAAAATATAACAGTAAAATAAGAATACCACTATAGATTTCCGTAATTTTAATGTAATTTAACGGACATTAAAAATCATAATCATCATCCCATTGATAAATGCCCAACAACAATCCAGTCAAAACTATGTTATTTACAAACAGAATAAGAGCTGATTATATTCCAATATCGTCAACAATTGTTTCATCGCAAGATCTCACTGATCTCAGTTAATTCCTTGAAACTATCGAAAATTTATATATTGCTCTGGAAACATCTGAGAATACTCTCGATTAAGGAGTTAATACTTGTGTTCGAACCAATTATGATTGATGTGAATATGGTTGGGACAAAGTCATAATGGGTCCTATAGGACTTTATAGAGGATGATGGGAGGAATGTCCAAGGAATCAAGAAACACAAACTTCGAAGACCTAAAAAGGACCCAAAAAAGGAACTTATAACTCCACATTGACCATAAGATGCCCAAGATTGTACATAAAATGCCATGTGGTAGCACCCGTCCAGCGGAAAATAATTGAGCTAGTATAGGAAAGTAAGGACTAATCTACCAAGTGGGCATAACACCCACAGTCAAGATCCCATGATTTTATCATTCCAAGTTTGTTAGTGCCCTTAATCTCCTTAGTCATGTGTCGACTTGAGAATCCGTATTAACAATCATGTGTTACCTCATCCAAGGGACCTCGTAGATCAAGGGTGTGGATCTAGTTCTAAGCTAACAAAGGAGAATTATAATCCACTACCATATGAGGGAGAAATCTAAATTGGATTTATTGTACTGTGTGATGGTGCAGGCCAAAGCTAACAAAACTACTTAGGCTCTAAGATTGATGTATAGGAAATGAGAGTATCTTCTCTATGTGATGGAGACAATACTCAATATGGGGCTTATAACCTAATATGATAAAGAAGCTAGAGGTATGAACTTGCATCTTGCATGGGTCAAGAATGTCATCTAATTCACATAGTCGCATATGAATATACCAAATAATTACCAAATTTTTGGAAGCAAAATATAGAGGGTTCAAGTTAAATTGTAAACATATTTGCTCTAATATAAATAATCTTTGTTCTATTATAATCGGGGATTGAAAAATTGTGCCTCTCCTCTTAGATTTCTGATGCTGACATGAAAGCGAAAACAGCAAGTAAAAGAGAATAATAATGTAGGAACACATTAATATGACTGATTTTCTTATTTCTCATTCAATAAAAAAGCAAGATACAATTGATCTATTATTTAATAGGTAGATCATCTCTCCCACAAATCCTAGACGCCTCTAGGAATTCACAACAAATACAAAAAAAATAAACTCAGCAATCTCATGCTCGTAACATTAATCAAAACTCCCTAAATAGCTCTATCCACAATAACACAAATAAAATATTTTTAAATAATTAAACATGATTTAGGAAACATCCATAAACAATTAAACATGATTTAAAAACATCCCTAAATAATTAAATATGATTTAGGAAATCTTCCTAATCAATTAAACTCTTCCTAAATAGCATAAACACAATTAGAAAACCTTTCTAAACAACTCCCCTTGAGTGAGAATGATGTAGAACGAAAGGCCTAAACTATTTCTATGGGAAGGAAAGAGAAAATAGTTCAGATTTTGATGCTCGGGAAGGTGGACAATCTCCAATTGTCTCCTCACAAAAGTTGAAATGTCCCTTCAGAAAATCTGAAATTTTCAGAATTTCCTATGGGAGAAAGAGGAGTAAAGGAAGTTGGGAGAGGATTCCAGCAATTGTCCAGCCTTGGCGTGAAAGAATTGGGAGAGAGAAGTTTCCTTTGAAAGGAGAGAATGCACGCTCTCAAAACTCTTCTATTACAATCTGAGAACAATCTCAGATTTTTAACAAAGAAAATCTGAGAGGATTTCTCAGATTTAATTGGGCTAGGATGTGGAGAACTTGAAGGAGAATCTAGCCTTAGTTGTGAAAAGAAAGCTGAGAGCAAACCTCCGTTACAGGTTTTGGAAGAGAGGATTTATTCAGTGCAATTAGGAGAGATGAGGGGCGGTGACAGGGAGAGGGAATTGGCGGGATAGAGAGGGAGTGGGGCCTTGTTTCCTAAATCAAAACTTTAGTATTAGGAAATAATTAAAACCAATGCAGGAAGGAAAATTCGGCCATGAGAGGGGGGTTTCAAATTGTTTCCAAAAGGGTGGGATGTGGTTTAGGAAACAATTCCCTGGAATTGTTTACTGGGCCGGCAGCTAGTGAGGCCAAGAGGGAGTTATGGAGAGAATTTGGGGAATCATATATGTTTGGAAAGATAGGAAATCAATTAATTAAAAATCCATTTGAATTTGAAAATCCAAATTGATTTAATTATAGACTTTCCTAAAATAGAGTGATAAATTAGAAAGGATTTCAAATTTTAAATTAGTGGAATTTGAAAATTGAAAACCGCCCTAAAATTAAATCACCCAAATTAAATTTGAAATATATCATGAATGAGATTCAATACTTTTCTAAAATAGCTTTCTAATTTAGGAAACTATTTGAAATTCAAAATTTGAATTTCAAATGATAAAAATAATTTCCTAAATTATTTGAACTCTTTAGGTAAGCATTAAGGTGGCATTGACTCCTCATTCATGGAGACAAACAATGGTGGCCTGCGGTGGAGGAGCTAATGGGAGAAGGTGGCCGGCGGCCAAGAGGGGGTGGGATCGAGTGAAGATGAATCCGGTGGTCAAACGAAGAGTGGGGAGGAGAAAGATGGAACAAAACAAAAGATAGAAGATAAAACAATGCAAAGAGAAAACCACGAACCCTTGGCCGGTGGCTTGGGTGGAGGATGGGGATGTCGACAAGGAGAAAACGAAAAGATAACGAAAAGAATAAAACCACGAACCCGACCGTCTCCAAGGTTGGTGGGTGATACGATTTCCCTCTCCAAGGGATCTCAATTCACGAGCCCGGACCCATCCTGCGGCTGATGACAACTTTGATTCCTCTCCAATGGAATCTCACTCTTGTCCTCTCTCAAGAAGAAAAGAACACATTGTGGAAAACAAATTTTTTTTATATTAATCAACCATCCCATTACAATAGATTAAGGCCTTATATATATGCCATAACATGAGAAAATCAAAATTACAAAAATGCCCCTTGGGCCAAGACACTCACATAAACTATCCTAGGGGTAAAATAGGAAAATACATAAAACAAGAGCTAAAATTCAGAAAATAATACATAAATGAAAATTTAAATAATGCCCGTCGATTTACTTGTGATAGATACGCCAAATCTTCGTACCGATGTCCGCATCAGAGAACCTTCCTAAACAACACCACATTGATTAGAAACCTTCCTGAACAATTCCCCCTTAATTAGGATCCTTCCTAAACAACTGCCCTTTGATTAGGAATCTTCCTAATCAATTCCCCCTTAATTAGGAACATTCATAAATAGCTCACTCTTGATTAGGAACATTCATAAATAGCTTCTGAGACTGTCTCCGAATCATCTTATATTGCTCCCATGTGGCAACATACACTGGCAAATACTTTTGCTTGATAAGTAACTTTTACGTTCATATTTCCCCTCGGCGCGCCTCTTTTACTTCTAGGGGCTCCAAAATGGCCACCATGTCCTCTATCAAAATCAAGGGAAGTGAAGACTGTGTGTGATATCTTATTGCACGCCTCAGTCCATAGCCTGCAACAATTCATTTTTTAGGGTAAATTCAGGAGATAGTGATAACATAGGATATCTCTTATTTATGGACAAATAATCCCTTTCACGTTCTTCTCTAGTTCCCTCTCCCGCAACATATCTCGATGGCGCTCCTCTTCGCATATATCAAAAAACATCTCTATCATCCTTCCGTTCAACAATTGTTGGGACACCAAGATTTACATGGTCATGTGGAAAAATACTCCCTTGTTAGTCATTTCCAAGATGACCATGAAGGCCTTTCCCTGGCATATAATCACGCCCTAGGGGTAAACTCATGCAATAAGCAGTACTTGACCCTTGAGTATAGATGATATCATCAATATTCTGCCTTGGAGCCCCTAAAATTGAAGTTGAATGTGGTGTGTCATACTGAGAACTTCCAAGAATGGGTAAAGCATGTGGATCTACATCCATTCCTCTACCATACGAACTAAAATCTTGAGAACCAGGATGAATAGGTGCAACTCTTGCTGCAATATATTCAGTTTGTTTAACATTAAGACTAGGAAGCAGTGACCCTAGAATCGTCACCACCCTAATAGCTTCTTCATCCTCTAGTGTAACGATTATCGTGATCTCTCCATGTTTCCCCTGTGTATCGAGGGTGAGAATCCCGCCTTTCTTGCCTCACATGACCTGATCTCCATGGTTCGGCCCGTCCCCCTCCTTCTCTGATCGTCCCCTCCCCTTGTTTAAAAGGCATCCCATAGTGGTCGGCCACTGCACCAGCTTCATCATAAAACTATCTTCGTAGTGTCCCCCTATCTGAAACCCCTAATCTACCCCTTATCGAAGCCCTAGTAGGTAGTTCTTGATGAAAGAAACTCTCATTATCGAACTCTTACCGTTCGATTTCTTTTCCCTTAGATTCAGCAAAGGGAATCCTGGGGGTTAGCAATTGGAACCACTGGTGGAGTTTTGTATTGCATCTTTATGAGCTTCCTTAACATCTCTTCTATCCTTTCAAATCATCCCTCTATCCAATTCTCCATAGTTAAAAACTTCTCTATGCCGGATTTGAATTGCTCTATTTTTCCTTTCAACACATCCACTTTCTTTATTATCATCTCTCCAAAAACTTCGCTCTGATTCTAATTTGATGCGACTTAGGCTTCTTTTGAGACGGCTTTTTTATTGGTTTTTAAAACCGCTTTCTATTATAAAATTAAAAATTACTTATACTAGAAAGCGGTTTTAAAAAGCAGAAAAAAAAAGCCGTCCCAAACGAAGCCTTAGAAGCGAAAACAACAAGTAAAAGAGAATAATAGCGTAAGAAATCAACGATAAGGCTAATTTTCTTATTTCTACTTCAATAATAAAGCAAGATACAATTGATTCACTATTTGAGAGGTAGATCATCTCTACCACAAACCTTAGACACCATTAGGAACTCACAACAAACACACGAAAAATAAACTCAGCAATATAATCCTCGTAACCTTAATCAAAACTGCCCCTTAAATATTCCTAGCCACAATAACACAAATAGAAGAACCTTCCTAAATAATTAAACATAATTTAAGAAATCTTCTTAAACAATTAGACATGATTTATGAAATATTCCTAAATAATTAAACATGATCTAGGAAACATTCCTAAACAATTAAACATAATTTAGAAAACATTCCTAATCAATTAAACCCTTCCTAAACAGCATAAACACAATTATAAAACCTTTCTAAACAGCTCCCCTTGATTAGAAACCTTCCTAAACAACTCTCCCTTGATTAAAAATCTTCCTAAACAATTCCCCCTTAATTAGGATCCTTTCTAAACAACTCCTCCTTGATTAGAAACCTTCCTAAACAATTACAGATTAATTAGGAACCTCCCTAAATAACTCTCTCTTGATTAGAAACATTCCTAAATAGCTCCCCTTTAATTCCTTACATAATAAATAATAGCACCCAGCGTAGCTGTGGGCCTCCCTGGCATATCAATTTCCCATGTAAACATCATTGAAGAAGCAGAGTGATGAGGGCAATCATGGCAAGGTTAAGGATTTGGTTTTTTTTTTTTCAAAAAAGAGAGGCAAGTGGAGAGAGAAATTCATACAATTATATTTTTAATAACAGCCAAATGATCATTGCTAATTAAAGGAAAATGATATATGCGTCCAATTAATGGTAATGTTCATTTTATTTAACTACTAATCAATAATGGAATAACAATTTTCTTTTCTTTATTATACATCCCAATCAAAAAGTATAAATCCATGATTTTCTTTTCTTCCCTTGACTTCCAATCCGTATATGAGAACTAATTATCAAGTAGCAAGGCAGGAATGAACTTCAATAAAAATATCAAACAATAATTCCTCCAAATTCTTCTAATCGACATATCCCAATCCCTTCTGTATTTCGTTAAAACAAAAACAAACAAAGAAATTCCACCATTAATTGAAATCACGCCCTCCCCATCCAGATGAAAATAATAACAACAGTAATTGCAAAGCACCAATCAGCTTCCAATAGCATCTCAATCCACTAAGATCGCTCAAAGTCTTCCTCTTACACCCCTGTTTAATCAACAATGGGTACCTCCACCATCCTATCAAAACCCCGAGGGGCTGTTTGGATGCAGGATTTAAGCTGGATTTGTGGCGGATTTGAGCTAAATCCAGCCAAACGGCTAGAAATGCAAAATCAAATCTCACGGTAAATCTAAGCTGCGGTTGAAAGAAATTTCCCTCTTTTCTGGTAAATCCCGGATTTACGAAATCCTTCGGTGAGGCGGATTCAAGGCATTCTTGGCGCGAGGGAAAAAGAATTCCGACCAATAAGCGCGTGAAAGGGGGAGAAATCCCGTTACCTTCGCGGCGAGCTCCCGGCGCCACTTCCGTCCGACAGAAACAAAGTTGAAGGAGGAGGCGGAGAAGCTTGGACTCTTTCAGAACTCTACTTCACGAGAAGCAGAACAGCAACGAATAAATGCAGAAGAGGAAAAGCAAACCCTAGACAGGCAATGACAATTGACTCGCTCGAAGCTCTACTCTACGCGAACCAGCGATTCCGAATAGGGAAGCTCTACCTCACAGGAACGAAGAGGTCCGCCTCACGCAGTGTGGAAACAAGAACAGTGATCTCAGATCAAGAAGAGAGCGGAAATAAGAGGAAGAAGAAGAAGTTGTATACTATTATTCTGAATCTCTATATATGAGGATTACAAGTTATTATATAGCCAGGGAAAGTATAAGAACTAATAAGCTAACGTCACCTAAGCAAGAGATAATTGTTTATTTATTATCTTTATACACTTAATATTTCCCCGCAAGCTAAAGGGTTGGTAGAGACAGTTAGCTTGTTCCTTAGTGTAATAAATCTTGGTGTTGATAGAGCTTTAGTAAAGATGTCCGCCGTTTGATCAATAGTGCTGATAGGAATAAGCCGAATGTTGTTTTGCTGAAGATGTTCCCTAATGTATTTCTGATCAATTTCTATGTGTTTTGTTATTGCATGAAAAACGGGATTGTTTGCTAGAGCGATTGCTGATGTGTTATCACAGAATATTTCTGTGGGTTCCGTTTGATCAATCCTGAATTCAGATAGGAGTCTTCGGAGCCAAATAATGTCCGTTGTAAGTGCAGCAAGCGCTCGATATTATGATTCTGTGGAGGACCGAGCAACCGTGTGTTGTTTCTTGACCGTCCAAGAGATGATGGTGTCTCTAAGAAATGAACAATATCCAGACGTCGATCTTCTTGTATCCGGATCTCCGGCCCAATCAGCGTCTGAAAATGATTTAAGATGGAGATTAGTTTTTGTAATGGGAATTCCAAAAGCAAGCGTACCTTTGATGTAACGTAGTAGACGTTTGAGCATGAAGAAGTGTTGTGGTTGAGGGTCATGCATGTGTTGAGATAGTTGATTTACGCTATACGTAATGTTCGGTCGCGTGAGTGTTAAATATTGTAACGATCCTGTGGATCGTCTATATAGCTGAGAATCCAGTGATGAATTCGAAGGATATGAGGGCGGGAATTTGGTGCAGGTGGGGTTGGCTAGCAGTTTGCAGTCAACAAGGTTCATTTGCTGAAGTATAGATGTGGCATACTGCCGCTGAAATAAGAAGTAGGTGTCCTTGGTTTTAGTTATTTGGATGCCAAGGAAATCATGAACTGGACCAAGATGCTTCATAGAGAATCGGATGCTGAGTTGATTAATGACCGAATTGATTGCAATTTTGTTGTTCCATGTAATCAATATATCATCAACATAAACAAGTAAAAATATAGTTGTTTGCTGATTTCTAAGAGTAAGAAGGGAGGGATCCGATTTACTATGGGAGAATCCAATTGAAGTTAAGAACGAAGTAAACATGTTATACCATTGGCGAGGCGCTTGTTTGAGACCATAGATGGCCTTGTGAAGTTTACATACATGATTAGGAGCCATGGAGTCTTCAAACTCGCGGGGCTGCCTCATGAAAACCTCTTCGGTTAAGGTACCGTGGAGGAACGCATTGGCGACATCCAATTGATCTACCGTCCAGTTGTTGTAAAGAGCTACAGCCAGGAGAATGCGTATGGTTGGTAGTTTGGCTACCTTGGCTACCGGACTAAACGTCTCGTTATAGTCCAGTCCGAACTCTTGATGGTTTCTGAGTGCTACCAGCCTTGCTTTGTATTTCTCGATTGAGCCATCTGCACGAACTTTTGTGCGATACGTCCACTTGCAGCCAACAATGGATCGGAGTAATCAGGTTTTGGTTCTACAAGACTCCACGTGCCCTGACGTTGGAGAGCTAGAAACTCTTGAGCCATCGCATTTCTCCATTATGGTGATTTGCAGGCTTGAGCAAATGAAGTTGGTGTGTCCAGTTCTGGAGGGGAAGTAACAGAATGGAGCAGGTTTAAACGATCTGGGGGTTTTAGATGACCAGTCTGCTTTCTTGTTACCATATGATGAGTAGGCTGTTTTACTACTTCAGGCACGGGTGGTGGAGCAGGAGATGTCGCCCGTGTAGGAGAAGGACAGACCCTGTAACACGAATCCTTACAAGAGGTATGAGTTGGATGATTAATCTGACTTACTTGAGATGCCGAGAGCAGAAGCAACAAATTCGGATTTATGGGTGAAGTAGGAGAGCTGTGTTCATTGCTAGCCACCAACGGTTTATGAAACGGAAATAAAGTTTCATCAAAAGAAATATGCCTAGAGAATGTAATTTTGTTGTTTGAAATATCTAAACATTTATAGCCTTTATAAACATCAAAGTAACCAAGAAGCACACATACAGGAGCCTTTGGTTGGAGTTTATGAACGCTATGTTTCGGAGATAATGGAAAACATGCGCATCCAAAAACTCTTAGGTGACTGTAAATAGGTTTGAAATTAAAAAATAATTCAAACGGAGTTACTTGAGAGGTAGTGAAAGAAGGTAACCGATTTATTAAGTAAGTTGTCGTGAGAACAGCATCTGACCAGTATTGGAACGGGACCGAAGCAGTTTGTAGGAGAGTTCTTGTTGTTTCAATCAAATGTCGGTGCTTGCGTTCTGCCACCCCATTCTGTTCTGGGGTGTAAGGGCACGAGAGTTGCCGAGCTATACCGTGCTTGTCCAAGAACTGATTGAACTTGTGATTGACGAACTCAGTCCCACCATCAGACCTGAAGGTTTTAATGGTATGCATGGTATTCTTTTCAAGTTTTATTTTAAAATCAACAAAGATCTCAAATACTTCAGATTTTTCTTTCATAGGAAATATCCAAGAAAATCTTGAAAAATCATCCACGAATAGCACATAATATCGGTACCCTTGATTGGAGATGACCGGAGCAAGTCCCCAAACATCAAAGTGAATAAGCGATAACAGAGCATTGCTACGGTTATTAGAATTTTCAAAAACTATTTTATGACATTTGGATTGTTTACACGGTAAGCGTCCATTGCCGGTGTTAGCAATGTTCACCGATCTCCCATCACCTACAGTCACTGTATCGGAGCCTTGATACGGTGTGGCAATGGACAAGTTGTCCAGTGAGTTGGTGAGATGATTGGTAGCACCCGAGTCAAGAAACCATTCCGAGTAGGAGTTTTCTGAGTTTGCCGCCAAGGTTCTGGGTTGCGATTGTTGTTGTTTAGGGACATAGTCAAGGTTTGCTCGGTGCCAGCAACTGGATGCCAAATGACCCCTCTTTTCACATATTTGACATATCACCTGAGAGTTGGATGAGGAGCGAGACGTCGTTGTATTGTTCGTCGATGCTCTGCCTCGAGACCTCCTGCCTCTGCCGCGAGTAGTGAATAGCGCCGAATGAGGATCCGGAAATGAGGCAGCACGAGCAGTGTTAGAGGCAATGTTCACTTCTTCGCTAAGAAGCAGGGGATAGAGCTGATCCAGAGAGATAGGCGTTAACATCGTACGGATCGATGTCTTGAACGACTGGTACGCCGGTGGTAGACCGTTGAGAATGTATAGGATAATGTCTTCATGATCCACCGTGGCGCCTGATGCCGAAATTTGATCAACAATTTTCTTGATCTCAAATAGATATTGGCTTATGGATTGATTCTTGAGCGACATATTGTGAAGAGAATTCTTGAGCTGGATAACTTTTGATCTATTTGTAGATTGAAATATTGTTTCAAGCATAGACCATATTGCAGTCGTATAGTCGAGATGAACTACATATGGTAAACTGTTAGAAGATATCGTAGAACAGAGGGCAGCGACAAGATTTTGGTCCGTTAGGAGCCATTGATTGTGCTGGCGAGTTTGAGTGGAAGTTCCTTCAGATTGAGAGGGAATCGTGATCGGAGACGAGAAAGAAGAAGAAAGAAATCGATCAAACCCATTTGCACGAAATTTTTTTTCAATTTGTGCTTTCCATACGGGATAGTTGTCGGCATCTAGCTGGATGGAGACGATCGTCTTCAAGTTCGATACGACGAACTTCAGTGCGGATGGAATCGTTGAGTCTTCCATTTCCTCCATCTCTGATTTTTCTCCGGGATCTGATGTAGCGGAGCTCATTTCTGAACCGTCTCTTATTGCCTAGCTCTTGATACCATGAGGAAACAAGAATAGTGATCTCAGATCAAGAAGAGAGTGGAAATAAGAGGAAGAAGAAGAAGTTGTATATTATTATTCTGAATCTCTATATCAGAGGATTACAAGTTATTATAAAGCCAGTAGAAAGTATAAGAACCAATAAGCTAACGCCACCTAAGCAAGAGATAATTATTTATCTGTTTATTATCTTTATACACTTAATACGCAGGAATGAAAAAGAGATCGTAAACGGTCCATCAGTCCGACTACAAAGCCGCTAGAAACTTCGTGTGTGCGGGAAATTTTAAGACGGAGCATGGACGAAACAGTGAACGAAGGAAACCGCCAAAATCTTTAGCGCGATACCATCCCGCCAGGAGCAATTATTACGTCAAGTCAACTGACGCTACCACAGATTAATAATCACCCGTCAAGTCATCTGAAATTTGGTATTGCTCATACATATCCGGATTTTCAGTTTTTTGTCCATACATAATAATTACTCTCCCGCAAGACGGCAGAGAGAGATGGGAAATAGAGATAAACAGGAGAAAGAAAGATGGAGAGAAATGAACTTTTTTTAGTTCAGGTCACTTGTCGTAGCTCTACATCCGAACGTCAATAAAATATCTCTACCTGCCTTTACTCTTTCCCTCGCAGCCCGACGACCCGATCCGGACCGTAACCCGGATTGCTATGTTTGTGTATTGCTAGGTATTGCTTGACAATAACGAGAAATACCGCTCTTTCAAGACTAATACCGAGCAATCCCAAGTAATATCTACCAATACCGAGCAATACCTAGCAAAACTGGGTCGAGGGGGATTTTTAAGGGGAATTTTTGTTCTTTGTCTCTCTGCCTCACTGGTTGGGGTTATTGGATTTGGTTATGTCTTCCTTGTTCTCTCTGGATGGCTCTGGCTGGCAACCAGGGAACTTATGCTGCAAATTTTACTCGCCCGAACAATTTTGCTGAGATGATGATGAATAATGGCTATCCCAACTTCTTCTTGGACGGTCTTCTGCAACAACCAAAAGTATTGATGTTCTATTCACTTGCTGATAATCTCGTTTCTTTTTTGAGCATTCTTAGTCCAGTTTTTGGCCTTAGCCCCTTACTTTTTATTTGGATTTTATCCTAGTTATTTTTCTCTTTACA